GAGGGGACCGCCTGGGTGGAGGCGTGAGGGCAGGAAAGGAGATGGGAGTCCCAAGAGAGATGGAAAGAGGGCGGTTCACCCTGACTGTGGAATGGCCTCCTGGGGGTCACCTCGTTTAAGGCTCACTCCATGGCAGGGATTCGTGCTCCATCTGATGGAGAAGGAAGCCAGGTCTCAGGTCATTTGCTGAGGGTCATAGCCATGAAGTGGGGAGTCCACATTAGCAACCAGGCCTCTTTGACTCTGGGGATCTCTCTGGGCATCGCAGTTATGCCCAGATGGGCTGTCCCCTGACCGCTACCACCCTGGCCCTCAGCTGCTGCCTGAAGCTAGGGCACCCCTCAGGTTCAGATGCCCCGAGTGGACACTCAGAGCAACTGGGGTCTTTGGGAATGCGCCTGGGCCCTGGTGCCCTCTGCACCCCAGGTTCGGATCGACCAGGCCTGGCCAGCATCCTCGGGACCCGGCCCACCCTACCCACAGCCACGTGGCTGACGGGATTTCCGCCATGTTTGGGGCATGAATTGACAAGTGCCCCATTGACGGGGCAGGGGAGGGGGTGGGCAGGGCACAAGCCTCCCACTGTGCCGTGTCCCCACCCTCCCCCGTTCCCTGGGACAATGGCCGAGACTCAGCCAGCGGCCACAGCTGGTGGGGGGCGGAGGGGGCACATGAGCACAAGGAGGGGCGGAAGGGAGGGGTCCTGGGTGGAGGGACCACCTGGGCCCCTGCCTGCTCTCATCCTGCACCTGGCTTGGGTGCCCTCCATTCCTTTCGTGGCCAGCTGGGTGGCCTTAAGGAGAGGAGGAGAGAAGAGGAGAGGGGAGAGGGGAGAGGAGGGGGTGCCTTCCCATAGTCTGGATCACAGCCTGCCTGGGAAGGGGCAGTGTCTGGCTCCTGTTCCAGGCAGGTAATAAAGGGCCTAATTAATGAGGAGCAGCTGAGGCGCATAGCTCAGCAGGGCAGGGGCAGGACCTGGAGGGGCCCTGGGTAGCCCCAGCCCTGACCACAGCATGGCCTGGCCGAGGTCCCTCACTGGCCACTTGGCTCATCCACTCTGTGAACATTTCCTAGGTGCCTGTTGTGTGCTGGCACACTATATCCCAGAGAGACAGAACAGGGCAGCGCTCATAGCCCAGCACCTGCCCCTGTAAGCTATGGGCACATGCCTATCCTTTCTGAGCCTCAGTTTCCTCATCTGTAAAATGAAGAAAAAGAAAATCACCTACCTTGTAGGGTTGGGATGAGAATTCAACATGAGCCATGTAAAGTGCATGGCACAGGGCTGGGCACAGAGCAGCCACTGGGCGAGTGAGCTGTGGGTGGTGGGTGGGTGGTGGACAGACGCCCATCCTGCCCAACAGGGTGTGTGTAGGTGGGAGGGTAAAAAGCTGATGAGGAATTACAACGCCCCTGCCCATCCCTTGCTAAAGAGAATGGGAGAGTCAGAGATGGCCTCTTGGGGGAATTTACATTTAAGACAAAACCTAAAGCGTGAATAGGAGCAGCATGGAATGGCACGTGTGAAGGCCTTGATGTGGGATGGAGGATGGAAAGGAGGCAGGGGCCGACCACGGAGAGGAGGGGAGGGAGGGGACCTGGGGAAGGAGAAAAGGCAGTCGGGGACAGGCAGGAGACCATGTCAGGCTTTGGACTGCCAGAGGGCTCCAGCTTTCTCCCAAGCAGTGGGAAGCTGTTGAAGGGTTTGAGAAGCGAAGGACAGAGATGCTGGTTTGTGAGCTCATGGTGCTGTTTTCGGGTTATTGGGCCCTGGGCGGCGTCTGGCGGGCCCGGCTTCCCTTCTCTCAGAGAGGTCTTGAGGATCAGAGTGAGCCATGTGGCCCATGTTCCACGTTCTGCCTGGCAGGTACCCCTGACTGGGCTCCAGTGATGTTCTGGGGCTCTTTTGGGAGCAGTGGGGAGAGGCGCTCCCAAGAGGGTGCCCATGGGACCCTGCCCCCGTCCTGGGTTCTTAGGGGCTGTATCCCAGCCTCAGCAATCCCTGGGCTTTGGCAAGCCCCCACCCTCGTCTTGTCCACCTGGAATGTCTGTTAGAAATCTCCAGTGTGGTTCACGGGCGGGCTGGGGGCCGAGCGGCGTGGGGAAGAGACAACGTGGCCTCCAGGGCTTCCAGGAGAAGGCGTGGGGTCAGCGTTCCTCAGGAGGCCCTCCGAGCCCCCAACCCTCAAACTTCTTCCCCACCCACTGGCCTCCCCGCAACGCTGCCCCATCAGTTCCCTCCTCCCACCTCCTTCCTCCGTCCTCCGTCCGCCCGGACCCTGGCACGGGAGGGTCCCTCCTCCCCCAAAGCACATCTGGTTCTCGTTAGGGTCTCCCAGGATGCCTCTGCCTGAGGCCCCCTATCCCGAGGGAGGTGGGCAGGAGGATTAGGGGTGATTAGGAGTGCTCCTGGCCAGGAGAGGAGGGGGCTGGGTCTGTTATAAATAGCAACACTATGGCTGCATCAGCCCATCATTCACTGTAGATTCCAAGTTCAGGCTCAAAAACTTGCAACTTCAGCAGCCAGAGTGGGGGTGATGCTCCAGGTGGGGTGGGGAAGGCACAGCAACCGCTAGCCACACCCTCCCCCTTGGAGTCAGGCCCCTGCACCTGGCTGGAATCCTCCTTGCTGTGTTGCCTAGGGTAAGAGACTTGACCTCTCTGAACCGTGGGGATGGTGATCATGTACCTATTTGAACATTCCCCCTGTTTAGAGAGGGAAAATGCATAAAGCACTTAGAATCGTGCCGGGCCTGGTAGGCAGTCAGTGTGAGCTGCAGTCATTGTCACTGCCACTGTCTTTGTCATCATCACCATGATGAGTTGAGAAGCACTGGGAGATACTCACTGTGAGCCACTGTCAAGTCACTGTCTCTGTCATGGTCACCATTCTGGGCTGGGAGGGTTGAGTAACACGCTGCAAGTGAAGAGCCTGCAGGATGCCTTGTGCATAAGAAACTCTTCTGATTAGGCTGGGGATGGTAGCTCATGCCTGTAATCCCAGCACTTTGGGAGGCTGAGGCGGGCAGATCACCTGAGGTCAGGAGTTCCAGACCAGCCTGGCCAACATGGTGAAACCTCATCTCTGCTAAAAATACAAAAAATTAGCCGCGTGTGCTGGCGGGCGCCTGTAATCCCAGCTACTCGGGAGGCTGAGGTGGGAGAATCGCTGGAACCTGGGAGGCGGAGGTTGCAGTGAACCGAGATTGCGCCACTGCACTCCAGCCTGGGAGACTGAGCAAGACTCCGTCTCAAAAAAAAAAAAAAAGTAAAGAAAAGAAACTCCTGTGATTATTAATGTATTTGACTCACAAAGTGCCTGGCACACAGTAGGCACTCAATAAATGGGACCTGTGGTTACGGCAGGGTGGGGCCTGAGCAGAGGCAGGGTCCTGGAACCCAGGCATGCAGAGTGGCCACGCCCAGCTGGAGAAGCTGCTCTTGCCCCGGGCCGCACCGCCCTGGACGGCCATTGGTGGTGCATGGTGGGTGTCCCTTGTTCCTAGCTGGGTGAGCTGGGGGTGGGGGTCAGCAGGAGGGCCCTGGCCTGTCGCAGGCAGCGCGTGACTCCTAGGAGGGCTTAGCCGCTCATTAATCACCTAAGCGGGGCTCAGCATTCTTGAAATGCCGGCTGGGGCCAGGGAGGGGCCTGGGCGGGGGGCTCCCAGGGACCCCAGGGCTCTGGGGCTGGGAAGTGAGGACAGCTATTCTGACCGCTGAGCACCCACTAAGTGGCCAGCACTTCACACACTTCGTCTCGTTTCATACTCAAAACAGCCCCATGAAGCCCTAGCTGTACGTGTCCCCATTGCATGAATGAGGAGACTGAGGCTCAGAGAGTGCGTGTGACCTGCCCAAGATCACTCAGCAGGGAGTGGCTGAGCCAGGATTTGTTCCTGGACCTGTCTGAGCTCAACAGAAGAGGGCAGACCCCAGACTCAGGCTTCAGAGGCCTGTGGGAGGAGCCCTCCTGCCTCAGGGGGGCTGGCTGGGTCAACTGTGTAGGTGGGGCTGTCCTCCATTATCGGGGTTGACGCATCTTCCACGTCAGCCCCCTTATCACCCCACCCTCTAGCTTCCCCCGCAAGGTGACCCTGGGAGGGGAAAGGCCAGCACCTCCCCCGTCCTCCCTCATGATGCCCAAGAGCCCTGGCTGCCTTTCCTCTAGGGGCCCCTCCCCTTGGTGCGGCCGGGGCCAGCACAGAGGGCCCAGGAGAGGGCAGCAGGCAGAGGAGTGGAGCTCTGGCAGCCATCATTCCCTGCTGGGAGCCCGGGGCAAGCCCTTCCCTCTCTAGGCTTCTGCCTCCTTTGGAAAAAGGGGGCTAAGTTCCCCAGCCCATGCCCCAGAGGGTGATGGGCATATCCAGTGAGGGTGCAGGGAGCTCTCCTGATTCTGATCCCCACTCCCCGCTGCGGCCAGGGCCTGGGTGCAGGAGGCTCCCAAAGCCCTGTGGGCCCCCAGAATATACGGTCCCATTTAGCCAGGCCTCGTGCTCCTGTGTGCCTGGAGCTAGGCCATCTGGAACTGACCCCTGGAGGACAGGGCAGGACAGTGCCTGTTGGGTCCGAGCCATCCCATCGAGGGCAGTGGGCACCCATGGGGCTCTCAACTCAGCACCTCATTTGTGCCTCACAGCACCCCATAAGACAGAGGGACAGTGACCCCATTTGACAGATGAGCGGAAAGGACCTGCTCCCTGTCACACAGCTAGAAAGGGGCGTGGCAGGATCGGCCTCTCTGTACCCAGATCCACGCCCTGGGCCCCTCTCCTCTGAGACTCAAGGGGGCCTTGTGCTGGGGCGGGGTCATTATCAGCACTTCCTGGAGGGGTGCCAGGCAGTGGAGGTGAGAGCTGGCCCCCACATGGATACTTGGGTGGAAAGGAGCGGGGGCATCTGTTTTGGATGGCCAGCCTGGGCAGGGATGGAGGGCTGGTCCCGATGCCCAGGGTCTGCAGGGAGCTGGGCCCCTTCCCTAGCCCACCTCTCCTGCCCTGCAGGCCACGACATCAACGGTGCCCTGGAGCCCTCCAACATAGACACCAGCATCCTGGAGGAGTACATCAGCAAGGAGGATGCCTCCGACCTGTAAGTGGCCCCCTTGCCTGCCCTGCACCTGCCCAGCCCCCAGCCCTTTGTCTCTCTTCTGTCACCAGGGAGGTCTGAGGGCCGGACCTGGGGTCTCCCGTGGTCCCACCTGTGGTCCCACCTCTGAAAGCTGCTCCTCGTCCTTTCCCAGTCACTGATTCCTCCGAAATCTCCAGAGTTCCCTGCGGGGAGGGGGCGGCTACTTCCCTGCTGGGGCCGGGGTCCTGGCTGGAGCTGAGCCGCTCCCCTTCCCCGCAGCTGCTTCCCTGACATCTCTGCTCCAGCCAGCTCGGCCTCCTACTCTCACGGGCAGCCTGCGATGCCCGGCTCCAGCGGGGTTCACCACCTGAGCCCCCCTGGGGGTGGACCCTCCCCGGGACGCCATGGTCCCCTCCCACCCCCGAGCTACGGCCCCCCGCTGAACTGCAACAACAACAACGGCATGGGCGCTGCCCCCAAGCCCTTCCCGGGGGGCGCCGGGCCCCCCATCAAGGCCGAGCCCAAGGCTCCCTATGCCCCAGGGTGAGTGAGGGCAGGGAGTAGGGGGATACAGACGCCTAGGTGCAGGCAGGGAGCAGGGCTGTGGCCATGGCCTGGGAGGTCCTGCACACTGGCCTGGCATGGGATGGGTTGGGTGACCGGCTGTGTGTGGGCAGGTGAGGGAAGGGAGGTTGGGTCCAGGCCGAGGGGGGACTCCTGGGCTTTGTTCTGAGGCACTGGGCAGCCATGAAACTTCTAAGCAGGGGAGTGATGAGGGCTGACGTAAGTGCTAGAAAAATCTCGGTGCTGTGTGGAGAGTGGACAGGAGGTGGCGGGACTGGAGGCTGTGACTGTTTACCTTCATGGGAACACCTGCATACCCGTGCACACATGCCGGGCCCACTCACTCACGCATCCAGCTGATGTGTACTATGGCCACAGGAGTTGGACCACGGCTCAGATATGGCACCTTAGCTCCCCCCTACCAAAGCAAGCCTCATGGAGCCCAGAACCCAGGCCCTTCCCCCCATCTTTCTGAGGAGTCCACACCAGCCGTCTGACCCAGGGCTGAACCTTGGGACTGGCTTTGACCAAAGATTCCAGTCAGCCACCCACCCAGCCAGATGCCAGGGCAGCCCCCGGGGCACATGTTCACAGTGGGAGGCTGGGAGCGTGGGTCTGCAGGGGAGCTCAGGGCAAACATAGGGGCCCCTGTCTCTAGGTAGAAAAGCATTAAAACACTAGGTGCGTGAACACTGTGTTCAGACAGCCTGGCTCCAACTTCAGCTTTCCCATGTACCAGCCATCTGCCTCACTAACCCATGGCCTCAGTTTCCTGCGAAGTGAGCCCCCAAATGCTTACCCCTCAAGATTATCGTGGGAAGTAAGCAAGGGCACAGAGGAAGCCCTGGGTGCATGGTGGCCATGGACACATGGCCGGCCGTGCTTCCTGAGCTCCCTGGCTTCTGTGGGGAAGGGAGTGGAGGCCAGGCTTGGGGTGCCAGGGGTGAACCTTTGCTGCAGAAGGCAAACTGTTTGCTTGAGGCGGTGAGGCTGTTCCTAAACTACAGGCCCCTGGGGGCAGAGGGAGAAGAACTAACATTTGGTGAGCGCCTGCTGGTGCCTGCTGCTGTATCACGTGCCTATGGTTGTGTGAGCTCATCAGCCTTCCCAGGTATCCAGCTCCTGGGAGACCCCACAAGGAGCCCTGGCCACTGCTCCTGTCAGGATTTTAATGGCACACTGAGGCTCAGAGAGGGAAAGCGACTTGTCCAGAGCCACACAGGGACTCTGGCCAGGGCCACTCTAGGGAGGGACCCAGGGCCAGGCCTTGGTCTAGGTGATAAACAAGAGAGACATGAGGCTGGGCATGGTGGCACACACCTGTAATCCCAGCACTTTGGAAGTTCAAGGTAGGCAGATTGCTTGAGCCCAGGAGTTCAAGACCAGTCTGCAACATGATGAAACCCCATCTCTACAAAAATTACAAAAATTATCTGGGTGTGGTGGCATGTGCCTGTAGTCCCAGTTACTCCTGAGGCTGAGGTGAGATAATAGTTTGAGCCAGCGAGGTAGAGGCTATAGTGAGCTGTGATCTCGCCTGCCACTGCTGGGGACAGAGTAAGACCCTGTCTCAAAAAAAAAAAAAAAAAAAAAAAAAGGCCGAGCATGGTGGCTCACGCCTATAATCCCAGCACTTTGGGAGGCCGAGGCAGGCGGATCAACTGAGGTCAGAAGTTCGAGACCAGCCTCAACATGGAGAAAACCTGCCTCTACTAAAAATACAAAATGATCCAGGTGTGGTGGCGCATGCCTGTAATCCCAGCTACTCAGGAGGCTAAGGCAGGAGAATTACTTGAACCTGGGAGGCGGAGGTTGCGGTGAGCCGAGATCACGATCCAGGTGTGGTGGCGAGATCACGATCCAGGTGGTGGCGTGCATGCCTGTAATCCCAGCTATTCAGGAGGCTGAGGCAGGAGAATTGCTTGAACCTGGGAGGCGGAGGTTGCAGTGAGCTGAGATTGCGCCATTGCACTCTAGCCTGGGCAAAAAGAGAGAAAGTCCCTCTCAAAAAAAAAAAAAAAAAAGGCTGGGCACGGTGGCTCACGCATCCCAGCACTTTGGGAGGCTGAGGTGGGCAGATCACTTGAGGCCTGGAGTTCAAGACTGGCCTGGGCAACATGGCGAAACCCAGTCTGTGTTAAAAATACAAAAATTAGGCCGGGCGCGGTGGCTCAAGCCTGTAATCCCAGCACTTTGGGAGGCCGAGACGGGCGGATCACGAGGTCAGGAGATCGAGACCATCCTGGCTAACATGGTGAAACCCCGTCTCTACTAAAAATACAAAAAACTAGCCGGGCGAGGTGGCAGGCGCCTGTGGTCCCAGCTACTCGGGAGGCTGAGCCAGGAGAATGGCGTGAACCTGGGAGGCGGAGCTTGCAGTGAGCTGAGATCCGGTCACTGCACTCCAGCCTGGGCGACAGAGCGAGACTCCGTCTCAAAAAAAAAAAAATACAAAAATTAGCCGGGTGTGGTGGTGCATGCCTGTAATCCCAGCTACTTGGGAGACCAAGGCACAAGGATCGCTTGAACCCGGGAGGTGGAGGTTGCAGTGAGCAGTGATTGCGTCACTGAACTCCAGCCTGGGCGACAGAGCGAGACTCTGTCTCAAAAAAAAAAAAAGAAAAACACACAAAACAGACACACGGCTCTGCAGTGGATCCTGAAGCCTAACTGGGGAGAGGTATTCACCAATACATCCCCAAGTAGAGTAATACTCAGATGCCAGAGGAACTTAAGAGGAGAGACACAAGGTGCTGTGGACTTGGGGCATAGGACTGCAGGGACTGCAGGGTGTGAAAGCCCTTCACACATTACAGAAGGCCCGGGCATTGTCAGGGAAGTGCAGGATGGAGCGGCAGCACAGGACGCCTGAGGCTGTGGCGAGGAGTATGGGTTTGAGTCCCATCCATGTTTTTGTATCATTCACACAAAACCTGCAGAGTCTGTCTTCTTGAATAGTTGTATAGGTCTCTACACGAGGCCCCGAAGGTGGGTGGGTGGCTGGCACAGGGTGCAGGGGGACTCTGGAACCAGTCCTGGGGCTGTGTCCACAACAGGGCCATAGCCTCTGGCAGTTCCCTGGGCATGGGAATGGGGAGTTGCTCCAGATGTGGGGACCAGGGATGGCCAAAGAGCTGGATCCCATATGGCCACAGCCTCCCACTTGCTGGGCGAGCTCAGGGTTCACGCAGGACGTGTTGACCTCTTAGGTTGAGTTTGTTCTTTTTCCTGAACACTGATAAAGTGAAACCTGCAAGAAAAAAATAAACCCAGGCCCGGTGGTGCTGGCTCCCTTCCCAGTTCACACCTGCCTCTGGTGGGGCAGCCCCCCGTGACCTGCTGAATGCCCCAAGGCCCAGCCCCCTAGGGCCCTGCGTTTCCAGGAAGCTGTGGGGCTTCAGTGGGTGCAGGAAGAGAGAAGAAGGCCTGGCCCTTGGTCTGGGGCGGGAGTCTTTGAGTCCCTGTGCCATCATCAAGGACACTAGTAACTGTGCCCCAAGTGCCTTGCAGGTCTAAGGGGATCCTGGGCAACCCCCTACCCACAATTCGGCCCCAGGCCCTGCCAGGCACCCCATGTGGGTGGTGCAGAGAAATGCCCCTAAGGGTGGATGTGAGGAAACCTCAGTGTCCCCAGCTTCTCGGGGGCTCTGGGACCCTACCATGCAGAGGAGCTACCCAGCTGGAAGGCCGGGGCTCAGCTGCTCACCCCCCGGCCCCTTCCCCTGGCTCTCACAGCACACTGCCGGACTCTCCCCCAGACTCGGGCTCCGAGGCCTACTCCCCCCAGCAGGTGAATGGTGAGTCCAGCGGGCACCGCCCTCCTGCTCCAGGGTTCGGGCAAGTGGTTGGGGCGGCCTTATCAGGGAGGTAGGGGAGGAGGGAGGGGGCCAGCGGCTGCACAACGGGCCGAGATTATCGCTGGTCAAATACTCCCTGGCGCTTGGCTATTGTTTCCCCACGGGCGGGTGGGGAGCCTGGCCCTGCCTCTGAGCGAGTATCCCCGCGGTGATGCCACCCGCCTGGCCGCCTGCGCCATCATGGACGCACCCTTCAGCGGTAAGTGGGTGGCTGGGGAAGGCCGTGGCCGCGGGTACAGCCTGGGCGCAGGCTTCCCAGGCCGGGCCCACCTCACCTTAGAGGGTGCTCAGGGGTGTCCCGGCCCCCAGGTGGCCAAGAGCAGAACCACCGCGGGAGCAGGCTCCCCGCAGTCCGGATTGGGGTCAAGAGTTCTGTTTATCTTACCAAAAACATCCCTGGAATGCCTCCTGGGGAACAAAGGGAGCTGGGGCCTCCCCGCTTAGGCCGGGGGGCTGGCCCCTGAGAGCCCAGAAGAGGGGCTGCCTGCCAGAGGGAGGAGCACCGGGCAGGCCTGGGCTGGGGGTCTCCGGAGACTCCTTCCTGAGGCCCAGAGGAGGAGCAGGCCTCAGAGGAGATGGGGATGGAGGGGGACCTTTAGATTTGACTTGGATCCTCCTGACCCAGCCTGGGGGCAGGAGGTGGCTAGGATGGGGTGAAGGGCTGCCCCTCCTTGGGCAGGGTCGTGCCTCCCTGCTCAGGCCTCTAGTAGGTGACTGACCAATGGCCCTCCCACCTAGGGTAGGTGGGGGCAGTTCCCGGGCTTGGCTCAGGATGGAGTAGAAGCAGGAGACTCTGCCTTGGGGAGGACGGTGCGGTTGGTCTCAGGTGTCCGCTCCCCCATCTCTCCTGCAGAACCCCATCTCCTGCGCACGATAACCCCTGAGACGTTGTGCCACGTGGGAGTGCCCTCCCGCCTGGAGCATCCGCCCCCACCTCCAGCCCACTTGCCAGGCCCCCCGCCACCCCCACCACCTCCACCTCACTACCCTGTCCTGCAGCGGGACCTGTACATGAAGGCCGAGCCCCCGGTCCCCCCCTACGCTGCCATGGGGCAGGGGCTGGTGCCCACTGATCTCCACCACACCCAGCAGTCCCAGATGCTGCACCAGCTCCTGCAGCAGCACGGAGCTGAGTAAGATGTGGGCGGCTGGCTCCCTGGGGTGGGAAGGTGGGGTGCAGGAACCAGGGTGGGCAGGGCGGCGGGCAGGCCAGAGAGGGAGGTAGGGACTGGGATGTGCCCAGGGAGGGCAGAAGGCTCTGCAGGGCAGATGGGGGTCAACATATTTACACATGTTTGCCCAGCAATACCTTGAGGGGTTTACAGCCAAGGCTAATTGCTCACAACTACCTTATCTGGTGGGCACAGGTAGGTAAACTGAGGTTCTGATGGGGGAAACGTCCTACCCAGATCATGAGCCAGGACTGGGCCCGGGGCTGTGCTCTTACCCACACCCCAGTGATTTTGCAGCTGTCTCATGGAACCCTCAGGTTTCTGAGGAGTCTTCTTCCTAGACCCAAGCCCAAGCCCCCCACTCTGATTCAACCTGCACGATTCTCTTTTCATCTGTTTTACACATGGAGATTCCATGAAAGGTTTAGTTCAAAGGAAGGTTCTGCTGTCAAAGCATTTTGTAAACCAGAAGGGGAAGGAGTGCTGTGCAGTCCCCTTTAAATTCCTTGCCCCAGGAAGCTCCCCTTCCCTGGCTTTTGTCGCCCAGGCCCTCTGTAGCTTGTTTCTGATCACGGGGCCTGCTCTCCGTAGAGCCCCTACTATAAAGGGTGACCTTGAGTGTGACACTGCAGGCAGGGACAAACTCATTCATTCCTCAAGCGATTGCTGTGATTCTGTGAGCCAGCCCAGTTGCTGGGCATGATGGAGACACCAAGTCAGGTGTGGCTCCTGTCCACAGTCTAGGGGAAGCAAAGAGTGATGGAAGCAGAAAATGACAGTACAGAGCAATGGGGAGTAGGAGGAGGCAAAGCCTGAGGGCTTCCTGCAGGAGGTGTCCTCTGGGCCGGGCATATCCTGGCCCAAACAGGCTAGAGAGGGGAGAGAGGTGGATACTACCCAGTGGGAGGGGCTCAGGGAAAGCCAGCCCCCATGGTGCACACTTCTGTCCCCCCAGGCTCCCCACACACCCCTCCAAGAAGAGGAAGCACTCCGAATCCCCCCCCAGCACCCTCAATGCCCAGATGCTGAATGGAATGATCAAACAGGAGCCCGGGACGGTGACAGCCCTGCCTCTGCACCCCACTCGAGCCCCATCCCCACCCTGGCCTCCCCAGGGTCCGCTCTCCCCGGGCCCTGGTTCTTTGCCTCTCAGCATTGCCCGTGTCCAGACACCGCCTTGGCACCCACCAGGTGCCTCCTCCCCAGGTACATGGCTGGCCAGCCCTTCAAGGTGGGGTGTGGGGCCCAATGTGCAGGGCCCACATGGGCATTCCCTCCCTCCAGGCCTCCTGCAGGACAGTGACAGCCTCAGTGGCTCCTACCTGGACCCCAACTACCAGTCCATCAAGTGGCAGCCCCATCAGCAGAACAAGTGGGCGACCCTGTACGACGCTAACTACAAGGAGCTGTGAGTGCCTCGCGACATTCCCCACTCCTCCAGCCCACCCCATCTTGGGATGCCCCAGCCCAGGACCCCATCAAGGTCCTAGAGCAGGGCCTGGGAGCACTCATTTCACAGAAGAGCAAACAGGCTCAGGGAAGAGCCAGGACTGGGACTCAGGGCTCCTGACTCCTAGGCCAGCCCCAGGCCTCCCTGAGAAGGTGATGACTGCCAGGGAGGGGCAGCTGGGAACCAAGTCAGGGAGAAATGGGCAGATGGGTGCTTTTTCCCGGCTCCTCCTTCCCCGCCTCCTCCCCCTGCATTCCAGGAAGGTAGCCGGAAGCTGAGCCCAAGCAGGACCCTCCCGGCAGCCCCTCCCTAGAGGGAGGGAGGAGGGGCTGGGGAGGATCAGGTCAGAGGCTGCCTGAGCATTCCTAGTGCCCCCTCAACACCAGACGGCTCCATCTTTCCAGGCCCCAGGCCGGGAGCCCTGTGGGGACTACTCCCATGACTTCCCCAGAAGGCCAGTGGGCCGGTGACAGGGTAACGTGGATATGGCCAGGCCTGGGCCAGCAGATGAGAACAGCTGCATGGAGTTGGGTACTGCAGGCTTTAGGGGAATTCTCAGCCAGCAGCCCCAGGGCTGGGGACGTCTGGCTGCTGGGTGGCTGGAGGGTCCCATGAAGTCCTGCCAGGTGGGGCTGCAGTCGTATGGCACTCCAGGCTCTCTGGCATGGGGAGGAAGCCCTCTACTCTCACCCCCATACTCTTTGGGCCACCCTTGCCACCCCAGGCCCTAAGGCCAGGAAGCTTGGCAGCTGCAGCCCCGGAAGTGGCCCAGGCACTTCCTGGGTGCTTTGCTAGGTCAGGCAGGTGGGTGGAGCTTCGGGAAGGAAGAGGTGGTGAGCCCAGGCCTTTGACAACACTGGCCAGGCCCAGAGGCCTCTTCCTACAAGTTTGGAAGCATTCTCCCTGCCCAGCTTCCTCCAGGCTGGCACTGGGCATTCCTGTGACCACTCTTGTGCCTGGGGACCTGAGTGAGGGTGCGCTAAGCCACAGGCCAACAGTTGCTGTTTTTTTTGAGATGGGGTCTTGCTCTGTTGCCCAGGCTGGAGTGCAGTGGTGTGATCTCAGCTCATTGCAACCTCCGCCTCCTGGGCTCAAGAGATTTTCCTGCCTTAGCCTCCCGAGTAGCTGGGATTACAGACGGCTAATTTTTGTATTTTTAGTAGAGGCGGGGTTTCACCATGTTGGCCAGGCTAGTCTCGAACTCTTGACCTCGTGATTTGCCTGCCTCGGCCTCCCAAAGTGCTGGGATTACAGGTGTGAGCCCGAGCCTGGCCCAGTTGCTCTTTTTACTGTCAACTAGAGGTGTCCCAAAGGGGCCAAACGTGGGACACTAAACCCAACAACAGATGGGCAAACTGAGGCTGAGTCTGAGGGAGAGTCCAGGAGTGCCCCTTCCCTCCCGGGCAGATGGAGGGAGTAGGAATGAGGAGGGAGTGGGAATGAGGGTGTCTGGGGACTTGAGCAAGCCAGTGGGCAGGGGCTGGGTCTGCAGCAGAGCAGGCGCCTGGTTCCACCGTTTCCAGGGCAACTAGCTGTCAGGCTCTGTGAGGCTCTGCAGACACAGTCCCTCTCGGGTGAGTGAGGGGGCTTCAGGCAGCCTTCTGGGAAGGAGGCAAGTGTGGAGAGGGCAGTTAAGCCCTCCCTGGCTCAGGAGTTCCCTCCCATCTGGTGGGCCTCAGGGTCTGGCCCTGCTTCCCCATCACCAGGACAGGGCGGTGGCCTGAGGCATGGGGTAGAGGAGAGAATGTTGTCTAAGGAGTTTGCAACCCTGTACTAGAATCCTTTCCGGGACTCAGTTTCCATTTCTCAGGAGTGGGGGCAGCTGCAATGGTGGTTTGAGGATGCAGGGGTGTGGGGTAGGAAACGGTTTTGCAACCTAGCAGGTAGGAGGAACCGATGTTCCAGGCCTGGCTCTGGGGCCTCAGGGGAGTGCCCTTACCTGTCCCCAGGCCCATGCTCACCTACCGTGTGGACGCGGACAAGGGCTTCAACTTTTCGGTGGGCGATGATGCCTTTGTGTGCCAGAAGAAGAACCACTTCCAGGTGACGGTGTACATCGGCATGCTGGGCGAGCCCAAGTTTGTCAAGACGCCTGAGGGCCTCAAGCCCCTCGACTGCTTCTATCTGAAGCTGCATGGAGTGAAGGCAAGTTTGGGGCTCGGCAAGGAAGGGAGGGCAGGAGGGCCCTTTGGGGGGCACTGAAAGACCCCAGAAAAAGCAAGGGTTGGCTGGGTGCTGTGGCTCACGCCTGTAATCCCAGCACTTTGGGAGGTGGGCAGATCACTTGAGGTCAGGAGTTCAAGACCAGCCTGGCCAACATGGTGAAACCCTCTCTCTGCTAAAAATACAAAAATTAGCCAGGCGTGGTGGTGCGGGCCTGTAATCTCAGCTACTCGGGGGGCTGAGGCAGGCAGGAAAATCGTTTGAACCAGGGAGGCGGAGGTTGTAGGGTGCTGAGATCGTGCCACTGCACTCCAGCCTGGCAACAGAGTGAGACTTCATCTCAAAAAAAAAAAAAAAAAAAAAGCAAGCATGTGTGCGAATGTGTGTGTGTGTATGTGTGTGTAAACTAGATCCTGCCCTGCCACTGCCACCCGCCTTCTCTCCTTTTCTCCCTGTGCCTGCCCCTCAGCCTGCCTCCCTCGCCCTGCACCTGCCTCTTAAACCTTGGGTTCGTGAGCCTGCCTCCCTCTCGTTGGGCTCCTCAACCTGCCTTCCTGCCTCCCTGCCTCCCTTTTGCCCTGTGCCTGCCCCTTAAACGTTAGGCTTCTCAGCCTGCTTCCCTCTCGTTGGGCTCCTTAGCCTGCCTCCCTGCCTCTCTGCCTCTCTGCCTCCCTCTCACCCCGTTTCCTGCTCCAGCCTGTGATTCCCAAGTCTGCAACCCCAGTCAAGACCCATCTCCTGAGCCCTCTACCAGGTGCCTCAGCTAAACTAAACTCCTTGCACACTTGCCTCCCACCCTAGGCTCCCCTCTCAGGGAATGGGGCGCAGGGCCTTGGTTACCTGAGCCACAAATCTGGGTCAGGGCCCTCTTTCCCCTCTCATCATGCATCTGGCCCTGCTATTGCCCTGGAAGATCCCTGTACTTGGTCCAGTCCTTGCCTCTTTCCTGTCTATCCCCTGGTCTGGGTTACCTCCCTTCCTTGTCAGAATGGCCATGGCAGCTGGGACCCCCAACTCCTGGCCCACTTGAGACTCAGGGGGCCACGGCACTCCCTATCCTTCCAAGGCCCCCAGTGTCTTCCCATCAAAGCCCCAGCTTCCAAGCTGCACCACTGGGGCCTTGGGGGCCCTGCTCTCCAATCCAGCTCTGCCACGTGTGGTACCCCAAACCTCTCGTGCCCATCACAGCCCCTGCCCTCCACCCTGCGGCTCCCTTTGCCTTGGATGCCCTTCCCAACACACATCCCTCCTCTCCGGGCAGACTCCATGCTGGTCCTCTCCCCAGGGCCCCTCCCCTGAGGCCTACTGGGAGGCACCACAGCACACCCCAGTAGTGACTGATTTTGAGTCTATGAGCTCCCTGGGGACATGGCTGGGTCTGTCAACTTCGGTGTCATAAGTGAGCCAGGCATGGCACCTTGGCATGGCTCTGCCAGTGCACATGGAGGAGTAGAGGAGACGTGGGTATGGAGAGGATCTGGGGAGGGAGTGGGCCTGGGTGCAAGTGGATGGGCTTGGAGGCTGCTGTGAGGTGTGTGGGTATGGACGTGAGGGAGGGTGGGGCTGTGAGTGTGTGTGTGTGCACGCGCGCACATGCGGAGGTGGGGGGAGTGTGTGGGTGTGGAATGGGGGTGTGGGTGTTTGGGGAGTGACTGTGCATGCGCAGCTGTGCAGAAGTTGGGGGAGTGTTATGCTGTGAGGGGGTGAGGAGGGTGTGGGTGTGAAGTAGGGTGTGAGGGGGTGTGACCATGCAGAAGGCATCTGAGCTTGTGGGAAACACGGCTGAGGGCTGGGTGCTGCCCTGTTTCCTGGTGAGCTCTAGCTGGGCCAGGCCTGTCTGAGAGGGGGCAGCAGGGCAGGACCACCTGGGTAGCGCCATCCTGAGGTGCTACTGGCTTCACTCCCCACAGCTGGAGGCCCTGAACCAGTCCATTAACATCGAGCAGTCCCAGTCAGACCGGAGCAAGCGGCCCTTCAACCCGGTCACGTGAGTGTTTGACCCTGTTGGGGGTCCTAGAAGGACCCACACTAAAGCTGGCTTGGGAATGGAGGGGCCAGGGAGGCACCCAGGGTGTCCGCCTTGCCTACGTTGCTGGCGTGGGTGCCCCTGAGCGGCGTGGCTCTTGCAGCCTCCCTCCCTGCCCCCTGAGCACCTTGCCTCTCCTCTGCAGGGTCAATCTGCCCCCTGAGCAGGTCACGAAGGTGACTGTGGGGCGGCTGCACTTCAGCGAGACCACCGCTAACAACATGCGTAAGAAGGGCAAGCCCAACCCTGACCAGAGGTGAGCAGGTGGGAGCCTGCCCCGAGCCCTCCATTTCTGAGGCAGGAAGACACCGCCCTGTGTGGCAAGCCAGGCACACAGCCCTACAGGCTGAGCCATTTCACAGATGAGAGACCTGAGATTTAGAGCCCTTCATTGACTTAAGGGTGGGAAGAGCAGAAGCCTGGCTTCTGTGTTGAGAAACAGCCCTGGCTTCTTGCTGTGGGCCCTGGGGAATTTCTGCCCCCTGGTGGAGGCTCGGGTTCCTCCTCTGTAGGATGGGGTGAGATGAACATGCATCTGGCCAGGGAAAGGGTAGGCCAGCCCTGGGGAGGGGGCAGGCCCTGAGTACTTCTGAGACCCCTGTGTGTCCCAGGTACTTCATGCTGGTGGTGGCCCTCCAGGCCCACGCACAGAACCAGAACTACACGCTGGCTGCCCAGATCTCAGAGCGCATCATCGTGCGGGTGAGGGCCACCTCCTCCCAGGGCGTAGACAGCCCTCCCTAGGGCTGGGAGAAACAGCAAGCAGAAGTACCCGGGTCCTGAGAGTCAAGAGTGGGCATGCTCATCCTGCTAGGCACTGGCTGTGTGGCCTTGGGCAAGGCTCCCACCCTCTCTGGGCTGCAGGGTCTCCACAGTAAAGCAGGGAGGTGGACAAAGACTTGGTAGCTTCTGGGATCCCACAAGTGACAAAAAGTTGTCACAATGGGAGGGACAGTTCAAGTTGGGCTTGGTGCAGTGAGAAGCCCTGGAAGGGGAGGGGCTGCTGTGGAGTTTCCCCTGCTCCCAGGGCCCTGCAGGTCCCCTCCCTATCCCCCAGGACTGATCCAGCCCCAAATCGCGGTAGGCCTCCAACCCAGGCCAGTTCGAGAGCGACAGCGATGTGTTGTGGCAGCGAGCACAGGTGCCCGACACCGTCTTCCACCACGGCCGCGTGGGCATCAACACAGACCGGCCGGACGAGGCGCTGGTTGTGCACGGGAATGTCAAGGTCATGGGCTCGCTTATGCACCCCTCCGACCTGCGCGCCAAGGAACACGTGCAGGAGGTGGGGACGGGGCTGTGGGGGCCGGGCGGGGCTAGAGGCTGGGGCGGGTCGCGGGGGCGGGGCTGCTGGGGAGGGGGCGTGACCACGCGGAAAGGCGGGGCTTCCGGGGAAGGAAGGGAGGGAGGCTGGCCTCGAATCCCGATCTAACGACTCCAGTAGTAGGATCTCCTCTCCACACTGCAGCCTCCAGGTTGCCGCCCTCCTGGGCTCCGGGGCCTGCTCCGGGACCGCCGCAGGAGGGGAGGGGTTCATTCCCGGGCCTGGCTCCCCGCAGGTGGACACCACCGAGCAATTGAAGAGGATCTCGCGCATGCGGCTGGTGCACTACAGATACAAGCCCGAGTTCGCCGCCAGCGCAGGCATCGAGGCCACTGCGCCAGAGACAGGTAGGGACCGGGCTGGCGCGGACTGGGGTCCGGGAACCCAGAAACCTCGGGTCTCAGTGACCTCGCCCCCTGTCACCTGGAAATCCTACTCCCAGAAACCCCTCCTCTTGACTCCTGGAACTGCGCCCCTGGGAATCATGCCTTCTAGAAGTCCCGCCCCTCAGACCTTGGAAAATCGCACCTCTCCAGGTCCCCGGAACCTCGCCCCATTGTCAGTGGAAATCCGAGAATCGCGGCCCAGGGACCCTCGCCCTTCGCTAGATGAATCCTACCTTTAACCTGCCGGAATACTACCCACTCCCCTTGGGATCCTTACCCCCAGGAATCCGCCCCACACCAGCCCGGGAACCTTACACCTGAGCCCTGGAATTGCAATTCTGTAAACACTTGTTCCGGGATCCCCCTGCTCCAGGGCTCCTTGGAATCCAAATCTCTGGGTTCCAGAACTTTACCCTCTCCAATCCTGCCCTTTCCCACCCCCTCACCCATCTTTGGCTTGTCCCCCACCTCCAGGTGTCATCGCTCAGGAGGTGAAGGAGATCTTGCCTGAGGCTGTGAAAGACACTGGAGACATGGTCTTTGCCAATGGGAAAACCATAGAGAACTTCCTGGTGGTGAACAAGGTCTGTGGGTGGGGCAATGGGAAGGAGCCCAGAGGCAAGGGGGGAGCTAGCTGGGGGACACTTATCACCTCCATAGATACTGGGGGGGGGGCACTGCAGGAGCAACCTCAGCTCTCATGCTGCTTCCAGAGTGCCCTCTGCACCCCACAGGGAAGGGGTGAGTGTTCAAGGAGATGAGTGGGTAGGGATTTGGCCCCTGGAGCCTGTGTGATCAAGGGCAAGAGAAACCCTGTGGAGGGCCATGGCCTTCCACCCCCAGTAAAATGAGGGCAGTAATAGAACTGCAAAGACATCCTCGTATGGTTACCTCCACGCTGAAATACGTGATTTCTTGTGAGGATGACTTTTGTCACCTGTCCTGAGTCTGGGCGCCAAGGAGGCATGTAATGGGTCTCCACCCCAGTCGAATAGTGAAATGCTGACATCTGAGACAGCAGTCATCAGAGGGGGCAGATCCCGGGGCTGCAGCCTTCAGGCTTAGGGGAGGAGAGCTCTGGCAGGGAGTGGGGAGGGCCATTCAGGCAGGTGGGACAGCCCAGGTGAAGGTGCAGAGGTGGGGGTGTTGCTTGGAGATAGGCACAGGAGCTGTGGGTGTTGAGGCTGGACTGGAGGGGCCCGCCCAGGTAGGGAGGCTTTGAGGGCCTCCCGGTGGCCAAGGACAGTGGCCGCCCCTCCTGACCCATGAGGTCTGGCAGTCTGGGGCTCCCAGGCCTAACTGGGCCCTCTGTGTTGGCCTATGGCCCATGGCAGGAGCGCATCTTCATGGAGAACGTGGGGGCTGTGAAGGAGTTGTGCAAGCTGACGGACAACCTGGAGACGCGCATTGATGAGCTGGAGCGCTGGAGCCACAAGCTGGCCAAGCTGCGGCGGCTCGACAGCCTCAAATCCACCGGCAGCTCGGGCGCCTTCAGGTAGGGGTGCGGGGTGGGGGAAGGTGAGACCCTTCTTCCCGGGGACACCCCTGATCCTGGCCCTCTTGCTGCAGTCATGCAGGGAGCCAGTTCAGCCGGGCAGGCAGTGTCCCCCACAAGAAGAGGCCCCCCAAGGTGGCCAGCAAGGTAAGGGTGAGCAGGCATGGCAGGTGGGTTGGATGGGGAGTTCCCCACCCCTTGTGGCCTCCCTTTCCAGGTTGCAGTTCTCCAGCCTCACGGCCTCTGGTGCTTCCCTCTCCTTGTGACTCTGTAGCCCTCCTAGTCCCCAGTTTCTCTTTCTTCTCCCTTTGCCCCTTGGGGGAATGGGGCACCCCCTTAACCACCACCCCCTGCCCGACCTCCAGCAGAGCCCACTGCGGGCAGCCTCAGCCTGGCCCTCTTTGCATTTGCACTTTTCCTCTTGGTCCTCAGTCATCGTCCGTGGCTCCGGACCAGGCCTGCATCAGCCAGCGCTTCCTGCAGGGAACCATCATTGCCCTGGTGGTGGTCATGGCCTTCAGGTGACTTGTCCCCTGGCTCTCAGGGTGGCTGACTAGGGGAGTGGAGCTGCCCAGTGGAGTCAGCTGCCCATGGGCTCAGGCCTAGGGGAAGAGGAGGATGTAGCTTGGGAGATCAGGCAGCTGAGGTCTCAGTGAGGTGGGCCTTTCTGCCTCCTCCCCTCTGGGGTGACCCATTTTGCAGGCATCACCTGGGAGCCCAGCTTCAGGAGCAAGGACCACAGCCTTGTCCTGGAGAGAGGGCACTGGCTGGTGGCTCCAGCTCTAACGGTCACCCTTTTCTGTGGCTCCAGCGTGGTGTCCATGTCCACACTGTACGTGCTGAGCCTGCGCACAGAGGAGGACCTGGTAGACACTGACGGGTAGGTTCCTGGATGCCACGCCAAGCCTCCAGGCCAGGTGGGGCTTTGGTGGGCAGGCCCAGGTCAGAGAGCCATGAGACTGTCTTCTCTAAAGGAGTTCATCCTTAGCCTCTCAGCCTGCTGGGGTGCTGTGGGGGTCCAGGGAGGGCCTCCTTGGAGGGTGGGCAGCCTTTGCCAGTCCCTGCTGACGCCGATGTTTGTGTCTGGCCTGTTTAGTGCCCCTCCAGGTAGCCGGGCCTGCCAGTCAGGGCTGTCTGAGGGGCTGGGGTTGGAACATGGGGTAGGCAGAAGGAGGGCCAGGGCAGGGCCTTGGGCTCTGTGAGCCCACTGTCATCCCCAGCTCCTGGGGCCACCTCTGACTGTGTCTTCTCTTCTCTCTTCCCCTTTGCCTGTCTCACCCTTTGCCTCTTTGCTGCCCCTTAGCTCTTTTGCCGTGTCCACTTCCTGTCTCCTGGCCCTGCTCCGGCCCCAGCCCCCTGGGGGGAGTGAGGCCTTGTGCCCATGGTACGTGCTGACCGGCACCCCTCTCCTCTGGCTCCTGCTGCCCCTCTTCCTGCCTCCCTCCCCTCCCTCTCTGCCTTCTCCTGCCCTCCTGCCTCTCCAGGACTGCCAGGCCCTCTCCCCTCAGGCTCTCCCAGCCCCTCTGAGCTCAGCTCATCCTTCCCCAGCAGGTCCAGCCAGAGCTTTGGGACCACGCAGCTCCGACAGTCCCCCATAACCACTGGGCTACCAGGCATACAGCCCACTTTGCTGCTGGGTGCGTGTCTGGGCAGGTCTAGGGTGGGACGGGAAGGTTGCTATGTTCTCTCTTGGGGACTCCTCCGACTTACACAGCCTCTGGCCTCCTCAGTGACCACCAGCCTCACCAGCTCGGCCCCAGGTTCTGCTGTCCGCACCCTGGACCTATGTTCCAGCCACCCCTGCCCTGTCGTCTGCTGTTCCTCACCCACCACCAACCCTACCACTGGTCCTAGTCTTGGCCCCAGCTTTAACCCTGGCCATGTTCTCAGCCCAAGTCCCAGCCCCAGCACCAACCGTTCAGGTAAGGCTTTCTCTGGGCTGGGGCTTGGGGCGAGGGCTACCTGAGTAGAGAGAAAGGCCCAAATACTCATTGGTGGGAGGGTCTCCTGGAGCCCAGAAAGGGGCTCTGGACAATGACTGGGAAGTTCCCCTGAGAGGACCAAGAGACACATGGGGTTCACTCAGTCTTATGGGGCCCTAGAGACAGCTGGACAGGAAGCAGCCAGCTCCCTGCTTCTCAGCCTGTCCCTGGTTCTATCCACAGGCCCCAGCCAGATGGCCCTTCTGCCAGTCACCAACATCAGAGCCAAGTCCTGGGGTCTTTCAGTCAATGGCATTGGCCACTCCAAGCATCACAAGAGCCTGGAGCCTCTGGCCAGCCCTGCAGTCCCCTTCCCTGGGGGGCAGGGCAAAGCCAAGAACAGCCCCAGCCTTGGTTTCCACGGCCGGGCCCGCCGAGGGGCCCCCGAGTCCAGCATGGGCCCTGCTCAGCCCACCTGGGCCCAGGGCCAGTCAGGTACTTGCTGCACCCCTGATAATACCTAGCCCAGCCTGGCAAGGCTCACTGGCCAGGGCCCACCTCAGCCCAGTCATGTGACTGTCTGGGTTCAGACTTGTCAGTCAATAGACATTTGCTGAGCATAGAGTAAGGGTCAGGAATCAGGCCCGCAGCCTTACATAAATCATCTCATTTAGTCCTCACAGCACTCCTGCAAGAAAGGAATTGTTGTTCCTATTGTTCAGCTGAAGAAATGGGATGGAGACTAAGGTGAAGTGACCTGCCCAGGGTTATACAGCCCCTCTGAGGCGGGGCTTATATTTGATCCCGAGCCTGATGCCTCCTTCACCATGCCAGCACCAGGAGGGTGCTATACCGGGTCTCGCCTATTATTTCCCAAACCTCATATCTTTGGTTTTAACAAAGCTACAGAACCTTTTATTCAGTTTTCAAACTGGGTTCCTCTGAGGCACCCTGGGGGCTGCCCTGGGGGTTGAAGGGGAGGGTGGGAGGCTTCCTGGCTTCAACCAGGCAGCTCTGCTCTCACTAACTTTCATTTGATGGGCTTTGTGGCTTCAAGAAAAAGAAACCCTGGAACATAATGTGGCTTACAGAGATGGAAATTCAAAGTGATGGGGGAACCCCATGGGGGAGATGTTTACCAGGCACCCATTTACTGAGCTGCCTGCCACTCTGTGGCCGGCTCTGTACAGGGGACTGGGGGTGATGAAGACGGATATGCTCCTGTCCCCAAAGACCTCACAGAGATGAAAACACAGCAGTGTGATGAGGCTCTGAGGGGACATGCCGGTAGCTTTGGGACTGGGGAGGACACTTAATCTGGACACAGGTGGGGAGGATCAGGGAAAACTTCTCTGGAGTTGGTGACATTTGAGCTGACTCTTTAAAGGATCTTTGGAATTTGCCCAGCAGGGATGTGGGAAGGGCACCTTCCATCTCGTCTGTATCTGATACCTGTCCTGGCCACACAGGGTGTCCTGGATCCTGTTGGGGTCCTTGGGTCCCTGGGTCATGCCTCAGAGCTGAAAACATACCAGGTCCAGCAAATGTTGAGTGGCCCCAGCTTCCCCCTTCCTGGGTGGATAGTCAGGCAGCAGCAAGACTGTACGTGAACTAGATGAGCAAGAAGGCCTGCCTCCCCCATCTGGCTTGTCACACTTCAGTCCCGCCCCTACCCAGCCAGCCAGCCTGTAGTGGGTCTGTTCAGAGAGGCTGCGAGGAGCAGCGTGCTGCTAGCAGTGTAATCATCGGCCTCGGGGCGGGGGTAGCCTGATTTGTGTGATGCTGTCACAACCGCTGATTTCAAGCTACCAGTGTAACTGATGTTTCTGAACCCAGAATTGGGAGAGATGCCCGCAGTCAGGAACGGAGGCCTTGAGCGGGCTCCTGCATACCTGGCAAGGGATGTGAAGACCCATCCCTCCTTCTGGGTGTTCCAGTTCTTTTGAAGAGGCAGATGTCAGGTTCATGGGAACTGGGTAGTCCTAGGGCTGCTGAGGGAACGGTGTAGTGTGATTCTGGCCATTGTGGAGGTCTGGAAAAAAATAACTTGGAACTTATTCATACTAAGGTGTGAGTGACTGATCCAAGTCTGGCAAGGAAAGACTTGCCTGCTTCTCACTTGTGTCCTGCCTTGTCACCTTACTCCTGCCCCAACAGCCTCTTTCCTTGCAGAGCCAGTGCCCTCCCTGACCTCCATCCAGGTGCTGGAGAATTCGATGCCTATCACCTCCCAGTACTGTGCTCCAGGGGATGCCTGCAGGTGGGCTGGGCTCCCTCCCTTCACCCAGGGAGGTCCCTTCAGGTGACATGAGCCCAGGTGGTACAGATTGCCCAGAACTTGCCCCCTCAGTGAGAAGCCTCTCCCATAAGGCAGGGCAGCCCCTTTCCAGGCCTCTGCAGGGCTCCAGTACAGATTGGGGGCTGAGGAGTCCACGGGTGGGGGGTGATGGCAGGGTGCCCTCAGGCTAAGGTGCCAGTTTTGCCCCTGCAGGCCTGGGAACTTCACCTACCACATCCCTGTGAGCAGCGGCACCCCACTGCACCTCAGCCTGACTCTGCAGATGAAGTGAGTGCCAGCACGGGGAAGTGGGAGGCAGGAGGGGAGCCAGGGAGAATCTCCTGCAGAGCCTCAGAACAGCCAAGTCTGAGGATAGCTGGAGAGTTTCTGGTATTTCCTACATGGTGGGATGAGTGCTGACTTCATTGCCTGCTTCGTGGTTAATTGGCTAAATGACCTGATCTCATGGCCTGAGGACCACGTGGGATGGTCGATGGGAAAGGTTTTGTTCGAGGGCCCTGGTTATTATGCGGTGTTTCAGGCTGGGTGGAGATTCAGAGGCAGGCTGGCTGGAAGGGGGCTGAGGTTGAGGGACTCCAAAACCTCATTTCTCTGCTATCTGGGCCTGTCTCCAGTTCCTCCTCCCCCGTGTCTGTAATGCTGTGCAGCCTAAGGTCAAAGGAGGAGCCGTGTGAGGAAGGGAGCCTTCCACAGAGTCTCCACACCCACCAGGACACCCAGGTAGGTGGGACTGGGAAGCTGTGGGCTGGCCAGGCCCGAGCTGCTTCTCTCCTGGCACAACTGGGCCCCCAAATGGGCAAGGAGCAGGAGCTGGGAGTTACAGAGTGAAGCCATCTCCACAAGGGACACTCTGGGGCCTGGGCCTCTGTGTCCCAGGGAGGGGCACGCGTGCCCGTGTTTGTTCCTTTCACTCTGCTGAGCATCTCCTGGCCCTGCCATGCTGGAGACCTGGGGAAGAAAGCAGATCACAGGGGCTAATGTGGATGAGTGCAATGATGGAAACAGGTGGGTGTCTGGAAGCCCATGGCGGGGAGGGCTGTGGCTCACTGGAGGTGTCTGCAGAAGCAGGAAGGAGCTGACCTCATGCTCAGGTTGGGGAAGTGGCACAGCTAGATGTGCAGCATTACAGGACCCCTCAGGCTCCATGTTTGGCCACCTCTTCTGGGAGAACTGGATGTCCAGCTCCTCCCTGGCCAAGTAACCGGAAGTTATAGCTGTCCCTGGGGCCTATGGACCCCTAGTTTCTCCTTGGGCCTAAGAGGCCATGGGAGAAGACTCTTAGGCCAAATTAAGGGAAGTAGTGATTATTTTTTCTCGCCCATTCATGTGTTTACTCAGAATATATTGACTGGGGCCCCATCTGTCCCAGGCCCTGTGCTGGGTGGGCCCAGCTGCAGGGGAGAGAGGTGGAACAGACACAGGTTTTGATTTCTAAGAACGGACTCTATAGTGAGGGAGAAAAGACGTACAGGAAGCACCTGCAACAGAGGAGGGGGTGCTTCTCGGGGAGGCCCGAGCCCTGTGGCCCTGCAGAAGAGACAGTGTCTGAGAGAGACGGAGAGCCCAGCTAGACATGCAGCAGACATGGTGCTTGGGCCTGAAACCACATCACAGACGCACAGCCAAAGCCTCAGGTAGATGGGCAGGCTGCCTGCGGCCAGGCTGCATGCCACCCTGAGGGAGATAGCCAGACAGACCTGGGTTTGAATCCCAGCTGTGTGATTTTGCCACACTGTGATGTTTAGGCAAGTGGCTCAGTTTCCTCATCCAGAAGATGGGGCTAGTAGCAGCACTGTGTCATTGGATTGTCCTGAGGATGGGGCTAATGAAATACTTTGATGTGCCCAGAGCACAGCGGGTGAGGGAACCCAGCACAACATGACTGGGAAGGAGGCAGGGGCCAGGCGGAGGTGGCCGTGGACCTGCCAGTCCCGGGCACAGTCTGCATGGAGTAGCTGCCATTGCTCCTTCCGCCAAAGCAGAACATGCTCCTTCCCATTTCTTCAAAGTTCTCTGCTTTTTTCCTTCATAAAACTCCCCACAGGCCCCAGAACTGTGACGGCTGTGGTGAGAGATGCTGGTTGGGATGAGGGCAGCCGTCTGTCCTGACCCCTGTCTCTCTTCTCTCCAGGGCACCTCTCACCAGTGGCCAATAACCATCCTGTCCTTCCGCGAATTCACCTACCACTTCCGGGTGGCACTGCTGGTGAGCAGGGGCATCCCACCTACCCCGGAGGTCTGGGTACCCGTCTGCGACGGGGGGCTTGAGGAATGGGGGATTTGCACAGTATGTGGTAGCCCTGGGGGCACAGTGTTAAGCAACGTCAGCAGGGAGTGCCGTCTGTCTCGCACCCCCAGAGCTGCCTCACCTTCCCACTGCCCTTCCACCCAGGGTCAGGCCAACTGCAGTTCAGAGGCTCTCGTCCAGCCAGCCACAGACTACTACTTCCACTTCTACCGCCTGTGTAACTGAGCTGCCCTCCTGAGGCAGCACCGCACCAGGGACTGGGGTGCCCAGGCACCCCCCAATACTGGATGCAATGGTGTTACACTGGAGCCTGCTGTAGGCCAGCTCTGCTGTTCACTGGCCCTACCCAAGACTGGTGAAACTGGAAGTCTTCACACTGGAGTTACTGTTCCAGCTGGTCGCCCCTCACAGCACAGAGGGAACCTGAGAGCCGGAGACTTCCTGGGCCTTCCTGCCTGCCACCCCCTAGGGGCCAGGACAGGACCAGTTTACCTCTTTCCAGATATGGTGGTTGGAGGGCTGGTTCAGGTACCCTGGAGGGAAGGGGAAGCCTGTGGCCCTGATTTGTTCAGAGCCCACTCTCCCCTGCCTCCCCTTTTAAGACTGGAGCCAACCCTCTTGGAGAGAGGACCTGCCCACCTTTGAGATCAGCAGGGGACTTGGATCCAGCCCTAAGAGACTTGGGTGGACTCCCATGAGTCAATGGAGGGCAGATGGCTCTCCCCCTTAAAGCTGTTCCCTGGGGGATGGCTTGGTAGTAGACTTTCTGGGGTTTGCCTGTTACGCCAGACTCGGATTTCTAAGCTTTAAGTGTGGCCCAGGAGGTTTCTTCTCCCTGGGAGAGCTTGGCTCCCAAGAAGTCCCAGGGCAGCCAAGGCCAGCCCTGGATGGGTTGGAGAAACTGACTTTGTGCCTTAAGTCTACTCAGTGCCTGATGAAGCCACCCTCAGCCCTTCACAGGCCTGAACCAGTAGAGGCCAGTGGGCCAGGTAAGCCCTAGAGCCTTGAACCAGGAATATCCGGGAAGAGGAAATTCCCTTTTGAGCGCCCAGATGGTGTTGCAGCTTCATTGCCTGCATTCCTGGGAGTGTCCAGAGCTCACAGTGATCAGTGACCACATCATTCTCTCTGAGCAGAGGAGCAGGAATCCCTCAAGCAGCAGCCTGGTCTTGGCTGGTGGGCAGATGCAAATAGCTTTTGCTGTTATTAATGAAGTAATTACTAAATGCACTTAAACCAGGGCAGGAAGGAGTGGAAGGATGGAGCTAGAAAGCTCCGAGTGGGCCAGAGCAGGGGTGTGACACCTGCAAAGACAGGGCTCTGACTCTGATCCCTCCCAGGGAGCCTCAGACACCCATCCCACTCCCAACCACCAAGACCCTGGGTTAGGGAAGAAGTTGTATCTTAAGTGCCAACTTCAAGTTTCTTAGTGGTGCCTGGTACATTCTGAGGCTACATCCAGGCTCATGGAAGGAGTGTGGTATTCATTTAGCCATGTCTGCCATGGGTCCAGAAATGGGAAAGGGAATTGCTGTCCTTGCCCTGTGGTATGCTGCCACCTCTTTGGGAAGCAGGCCTTGCCCCTGTCCCACCACTCATTCTCAGCTTTGAATGGGAGGCCTTTCTATAGTGGAGCCGAGTCCTTGAAGCCTATGAACTGCAGGCCCCCTTTTGCCACTGATCTCAAAGCACTTGTCCTCAGGATAGGGAACAGCAGGGGGATGCAGGAATAGCAGGGATAGCCTCCTCCCAGCCCCCTCCCCAATTTGGTTCCACGGACATAGGAATTTTATGATTCCCATACCATGCAGGGGCTGAGCCTTCTTTAGGATGACTTTGTTCTCCCTCCCACTGGGGGAATCCTCCCTCTGCCTTACAACTGCCGAGCCCCACTCCATGTAATAGGATTCCTGGGCTTCCTCAATGGGACTGCGGCCCCTCAGTCCTTAACTGGAAAGTGACCGTCCACTGCCCCCTGGAGCCCATCTGGACACAGCACAGTCCCAAACCCGTTAGCAGCTGGCTCTGTTTCCATGCCTGGGGAGGGGTTCCTCAGTGCAGGAGTTGGGGCCAGGCTGGGGCTCCGAGCTGCTTGAGGGGGTCAACCTTGGACCAAAGTTGCCTTAAGCCTGTGGTAAAAGGGCTTCAGGGAAGGTCAGTGGGCCACCTGCTAGAAGCTGCCAGCTGCCCGGCTGGCAATGGTGTGTCTTGGCCCCATCCCTGCCCTGGGGTCCAGCAGGTCATCCCTCCCTTCTCCTCTCTCCTTTGGTGTTTGTTCCTGTAGCCACTGGGCTAATCTCCCCCTAGCTTCAAGCTGTATATAGGGCCTCCCAGTGCAAATCCTCCTGCCCATTTTGTGCCCCCTTAGAAGCCTGCGTGTGCATAGAGCGCCCCCTACCTCCCAGTTAACTCCCAGTTCTCCCTGAGCTTGGTATTTATCGTGTGCCAACTCTGACTCTGAGGTGGGCAGTGAGGGAAGCAGCCCCGGGCCTGCTTGCTTCCTGTCCCCGAAATGTTCTTTTCTTCTGAAGTAAATATACATATATAAATAAATGTATAAATACTGCTTTGTATCTGAGCTTGCCTCCTTGTCTCTTCTTGGGATTGGTCTGGTGGGAGAGGAGTCACCTATGAGGCTAGGGCCAACTGGAATTCAAAGTTCTTCCTGAGAAGCCTGGAATCTCTGAGCTCCTGAGCCAGAGGGCCAAATGGATGCTTCATACCCCTTATCCTCTTAGCTTTATACTGGAGTTAGGAGTGGATTCAGCAGCCCCTCCCGTGGCCACACCTTCCCCTCCCGCACACCCGCTGCTGCCCACCTGTGTTAAAAGTAGCCACCGAGGGGAAAAGCCTTCTTAGGGGGACAAGCCGAGCCTGGTGAGGATGCCCCAGCACAGAGAAGAGTGGCTATGTTTATGGCAGGAACCGGCCTAGGGCAGAAAGGACTGATTCGGATTCCTAGAGAAGTCTGTCCTAGAAACAACAGAAAAGGGTAGGCCCAGACCCTTCCTATCCTCAGGTGAGCCTTAAATTCCAATGACAAAACACCCGTGCCACACGAATCTCATCCCCCTGAAGTAGATCAGCAGCAGGAACTGCGAAAGGCAGATGAGAAATGGGAAAAGGAAGAGATTGGGGAAGGAATGTAGGTCCCAGCACCCCGCCACCCCCGCAGAATGGACCCCAGACAGAACTGCCATACATCTGCCTTTATTATGAGCAGCAGGTGGGACACTTCCAGCAACAGTAAAAAAAAAAAAGTAATTTACAAAAGCAGGGGTTCAGTGAAGCCATCTGGTTGTTACCTAAAAGAGGAGAGGGGTATCAAAATGAGACCAATGGCCCTTCTTTCTACCTTCTCTCCCTGCACCCCTGTGCTCCTGGGGCAAAGGCTGTCGAGCACATGCCTTTGAGGATGAGCCACCAGAGCTGATTCCCAGTGGCCTGTTTGGTGGATTGTCTGCAGCAAGTTTTAAGCCCCGGATCTTGACCCCCTTTCAGCCAGCCAACTTCCCAGCAGCCTCTCCAAGTCACTGGGGTCTGACTTCTAAGAGCATAAATGTACAACCATGGGAAGCCTGCGTTCACACTCCTTCGTGGTACATCCCAAAGGCAGATCGAGGCCTTGGGCCATGTGAGCTCAGAATTGACAAAGTCACATTTGACTCAAGTCTGTATGAGGGGCAGGGAAAGAGGCACAAATGTCTAGTGTCCCTACCCATTCCACTGAGTCTGTCTCCATCAACCAAGGGGTCATGCTGGCAAGAGCTTTAAGGACCCTGCTGACCTGCCTATGGGGAGGCTTCCCTGGCTCATGCGTCCATCCCATTGCAGCTCTTACCCTTGGGCGCTCACACGTAGATGCCAACCCAGAGCAGCAGGAAAAGGACTCCAAAGCCCATGAAGAGTGAGGCCACCAAAGAGATGAGGAGCTCTTTATAGATATCACGAGTGTACTTGGTAGAGGTGACCTCATAACTGGGCACAGCAGTTAAGGCAAAGTGAAGGGATGGACTGTGGAGTGCAGAAAGCCCAGCCAGTGGCACTCTGAGGAGAAAGGTATTGGCTCAATGCCTTCTGGGAGGCATATCCAGCCCAGAGCCGCCAGGCAGAGGGGCCTAAGAGATGCCGTGGACTCTGGTGCTCCACTGCCATGAAGAAAATAAGACCCAGAGGAGTTAGGTCACTTGCCCCACGTCACATAGCTCATGAGGGCCGGAGCTAGGACTATCCCTCAGACCTCCCGACACCTGAGTGCACCCTTCCTTATACCACCTTTCCAACTGTAGCACCCCTATTCCCCACCTCCACTCTAGCCAGGTCCCCTCCCTGCTCACTGTCCTGAAAATCCAAAGGACAAACTGAGCTCACCTGAACTTTGGAAATAAGGCCATAACCTGCTCCTGGGCATAACCAGCCCTCCTCTCCTCCTTACCTTCTCCCAGCCCCAATCCAATGTACAAAACTGGCGGGGTCCATGTACTTAGCATGGTTTCTCCCTCAGCCTCCCAAATCACTAATCACTGGTCCTCTGGCTGCTCAGTGAAAGGATACACGAAGAACCAGGCGGTGAAGAACATGCCGATGGCCAAAAGCACCACAGTCAGATGGGGGAAGACAGCCGGGTTCACTGGGCTGGTGTATCTGCTCATGGCCTCGAGCTCCTAGGGGAAGGCAAGAGATCAGAGTTATCAAAGAATTCCATGATTTCAGCCTAGAGAGAACATGGGGTTATCAAGGAGCCTGGGGCTGCTGTGAAACAGAGGCTGATTTTGGCCTGGAAATGTAGCTGCAGATCAATGGTCCTTATCATTTTCTGAGGCCAGTGATCTGACCACTATGAAAATGTGACTAAAGGTACGAACTCTCTGCCTGAGAAAAACCACATACAAGAAAAAGTTTGCCTACAATTTCCGGAGCTTTGCGGACCAGTGTCTATAAACACCAAGCTGAGAACGCCTGCTATAAGTCACTGGTGGTACCCAGATCTCAAATTTTTTTTTTTTTTTTTTTTTTTTTGACGGAGTCTCACTGTCACCCAGGCTGGAGGGCAGGGGCACGATCTCGGCTTACTGTAACCTCTGCCTCCTGGGTTCTAGAGATTCTCATACCTCAGCCTCTTGAGTAGCTGGGACTACAGGATTACAGGTGCGCACCACCACACCTGGCTAATTTTTGTATTTTTAGTAGAGATACGTTTTGCTATGTTGGCCAGGATGGTCTCAAACTCCTGACCTCAGGTGATCTGCCTGCCTCAGCCTCCTAAAGTAGTGAGATTACAGGTGTGAGTCGCCGCACACAGCCTCAATTTCTTTCTTTTTTGTTTGAGGCAGTCTTGCTCTATCGCCCAGGCTGAAGTGCCTGGAGTGCAGTGGTACGAACTCGGCTCACTGCAACCTCCGCCTTCTGGGTTCAAGTGATTCTCCTGCCTTAGCCTCCGGAGCAGCTGGGATTACAGGCATGAACCACCATGCCCGGCTAATTTTTTGTATTTTTGGTAGACACGGGGTTCCACCATGCTAGCCAGGCTGGTCTCGAACTTCTAACCTCATGATCTGCCCGCCTCAGCTTCCCAAAGTGCTGGGATTACAGGCGTGAGCCACCGAGCCTAGCCCTCAATTTCTAATTCAGTATTTTCCTCACTACCTATACTATTATGGAATCTTGTGAGCTACAGGGAAGGCATTCAAGTTCTGGTTCTACTGAGTAATCTACTGAGTAATCTGAGTCTGAGGAAAGTGATTGTATTATCTATTTCACAGGACTGATGTATAAGAAAGATGATGAATCAAAACTCTAGTGCCTGGCAGGGAGTATTTTGCTCAATAGGTATTTGCTTCCTTCCTAAGGTTGTAGGGAAAATGATGACATAATGCCTATGAAAGAGGGCTGTAAACGTAAAGATCTGTACAAATGTTAACTTCATTGTCACCCGTCAGCCAACGCTTCTAAAATCCAGAACATAACAACTCTAGAGAAGTAAACTGCCCCCATTGTTCTGAAACACTGGAATTCAATTCAGTAAACAATCACGGCCCCCTTCCCCCAAAATGATAAAGACAATCACTGCCATTTATTGAGCTTCCAATTACAGCCCCTCTGTTTGGCACTGGGAACACAAAGATGCATAGACATCATCCCAGAGCTAGATGCGCGTCAGACGGTGGTCACTAGGAGGCGCGGCCGCAAACAAAGGAGTCCATGGAACGTGTACAGAGGCTGTGGGCGCTCCTAGGAGAGTCTGGCCAAGTGCCTCAGAGTTGGACGTGCCTCACCAAGAAACAACATTTGCCCAGGGCATTGTAACATGGGCACGGGTTCGGCAGAAGAACTTTCCAGATAAAGATAACACACCACAGATAACAGATATACAAACTGGAAGGTATTCAAAATACGCCCCACGCCTCTCATCCTTAGAAATCGCGAGCTCAGAAACCTAAGGAGTTCATGACAAGGGGTTTCCCCCTTCCCCACCCTTCAGCCCAAGCCGGAGTTTCCAGGAGCGTCTAACCCTCTGGATCTCTGCCGTCTGAGGAGAGAAGCGCGGTGTGGGTCAGACCCCGAGGGGTCCTCGCATCTCCGTCGGGAACTCCCCTTAACCCTCTCACCATTTTGCCCCGCGCAGGCTAATCCGCCGCTCCGCCACCGGAAGCACACGTCGGCAGGAGCAGGCGCCTAGCACAACCGGAAAAGGAAGTGCCTGCGGCGCAAGTAGCATTGGGGGACTTGTAGTCCTGCGATTTCGGGTGTAGCGGGAGCAGGGGCCTGCGGGGACCTGGTGTGGGTGGAGTAGGGACAAGCGGTGGAGAAGAGTACGCCACGGTCGCTGAGAGACTCTGTTCTCCCTGGAGGGACTGGTTGCCATGAGAGTAGCCGTCTGAGGGGACGCAGCCTGCACTACACTCCCCAAGAGGCTGTGCGTGGCGGGCAGGTCACGTGATGGGAGCGCGGGCTTTGGAAGGCGGCTGAGCGTCAGGCGACCCGCCGCTAAGCTGAGGAGGGAGATCGGGTTTAGGAACCGCCTGCCCGGGCCAACCCCGAACCAAGCTTTAGCCGCCGAGGCCTCGTGTCTCAAAGGCCAGGTGAGACCCCATGGGAAGCGCCTCCGGGAGCGACGGGGTCCGCTTGGCGCTGGGGCCGTGGGGAGCCGGGGTCTGGAGTGCGCGTGATATGCAGTCAAGCGGTCCCGCCACTTTTCCCCTTGTGAGCCGTGGGCCAGTCGCGTAAGCTCCGAGCCTCTCTTTCCTCCATTGTAGAAAGGCGGTAATAAGTTCCACCTTATGGGGTCGTGTTGTATTTTTCCTAAGACCTTGGACGAGAAAGAGTTCTGACACTTGAGTTGTTTAGCCCCTTTCCTGCCTGCCTGCCTGTCTGTGGGACGCCGCAAGGGGATCAAGGGCTACACGGCCTGGTCCTCAGTCCACATTCCAGCAGGGCCGCCGGCTTGAGGCAAGAGCCGAAGGGTTGAACAGGCCTGGAGAGGGGACATTAGGGGTTTCCGTCTGTTGTCTCAGTTAACCCTGGTAGCAGCCCTGAGAGACAATCATGGTAATCGTTCTTCATAAACCTCAGTGGCTT